GCTCTGCTGGGCAAAGGCCACTTGCACTGGGCTAGCACGGGGGGGAACAGGCTGGAGTTTGACCGCTTTATGCATCAGCAACACAAGTGTCAGCTAATTTCTTGCTGCAAAAATCTTTAATTGCTCATGATGTAAGAGGCAGTGAGGACTGAGCGGGGACTGCACAGCCTGGTTTGGAGAGCAAGCTGGACAGTTAGCAAAATTAACTTATTGCTCTGTAGATGGGCCATATTTATGTGAAACCGCTGGCAAAGAATGAGACCCACCTCCCACCCCTCCCAAAAAAGTCCTTTTATTCAAATGTCACTTTTCAGGTCGTAACCCTGCTTTAATATTATGCCAGTGGCACTCTGAAGCAGATTTATCATTTTTATTTTATTGACAAGATACTCAGAAGGTCAAAGTCAATCCACTTATGCACTATTTTTAAAGATTATTTTTATTGTGCCACAGGCAAGGCAATGGTATACAAGCCAAATGGGGACAAAATGTAGCGTAACAGAGGCTTTATTGTAAATTTCAGGGAACAAAACTATCAAAACGATGGTGCAATTCAGTTAAATGCAAAATTCAACTGAATTAATAGAGTTGCCTTTTAAAACAGAGCCCAAAGCTTTTCTTTTTTACAGGTAAAAGACATTTTACAGGGGAAAGACTTGAAAATACTGCAGCACTAATTAAATCTAGCATCTGATCGCCTTGCTCAGAACTCCTTTCTGGGGGTTTGCGCCCAGCAGTGGGGACCACATGGAGACCATCCTTGGCAAATTCCTAACTAAAGGAAAATAAATGGCATTTCAGCAGACCAAATGTTCTACACGTATGAAAAATTTACCCTATATTTGAAAACCTTATTAAAAGTTGGCCCCTCACTGGTCTGTTCAGTCTCACTTAGTGCCTCAGAAGTGCTAATAGGAATAGGACGGTATCTCTCGGTGCCTTTTGCTTGCTCTAAGTACCTTCTTTCTGAGGAAAAAGCAGAAGAATCTAAAAGTAAATGGTATTTAAATATGACTCTCTGCACAGTGCTACCACAGGAATCCTACGAGAGCATTTTATTATAATTAATAACATTTGGATTCTCAATAATAATATCAAATACTTTATTTAAATGTAATTAATAATGCTCTGCTCAATATGTATTAGTAATAATCCCAATCCACACAGCATGTTGTGGTTTTACCAGTGATTAACTACGCTGTCTAAACAATGCAAATACATTAGAAATTGAGACACAGCTAATTATTTTTCATCCTTCACATATTTTTCGTTTGCAGTAGTTTAGAAAATGCTGCTTTGCATGTTACCATTAGTGATGTTTAACACTGCTGGTAAGGATTTAAGAGGAAAAGGGATGAATCTGAGGAGCAAAGAGGGGAGGCATGTCAGGGTAGTGAGGAGGGGGATGCTCGCTCATTAAATTTAATGGTGTTGAGGATGAAATTTGCTTGTTTATGGGATGAAATTTGCTCCCTGAAGTATCTCCGCTCCTGTGGTCTGGGCAGCCACAACTGTGGATGTGTGTTTTATTATTTATTAAGTGTCAGAATCTGTTCCCGTGCCTTTTAGCGGGTCGGGTTGTGCCTGTGGACTGTCACTGAGGAGGCGATCGGGGAAATTGATCTTGTTCTCAGCCTGGTGTTGGTTCCCCTGAGCGATGCCAGCCTGTGCGACACGGTGACTGCAGCTGCCCTTTAATCAGGTGAAGCTTTTCCGTGCATTTTTAGTGGATGACAGAGCCAGGTGCCGGTGCCAGGCTCGTGTGCTCCGATGAAGTGCTCAATGTAGCGACTGTCCCCACTCCTGTGGGGAACGATCAAAGTCAGTGTCCACGTCTTGCACCGAGCTGCTGTTATTCTTGTGCTGCCTAGACTGCCTTTGAAAGGAAATATTTATTTATTTACATATGAGGAACCTGTATGTTTTATTTAATCCCACGACTCTATCCGTATAATTGCATTCAAAGGGTTTATGAAGAAAAATGGTGGCTTTTCAGGGAGCTGAACCTCATCGGCATTATGACCATAAAATTCTCCATCAGGAAGAGTATTAGGCACATCAGAGCTGCTGCTTCTGTCCACCCCAGTGTCTCAAATCCAGCACTGCCCGGGAGCTGCTCCAGTCACTCCTCAGTGCTCTGGAGAAGGTCTCATGCCTTCATCCCCGTTGAGGAGATGCTGCTGAGAAGCCAGTGATTTGTTTGCTTGCCTGCTCTTAAAACATATTTTTAAGCCAACAATTCCGTGGCAGCAGCTTGCTGAAAGGAGACTCTGAATTGCTTCCTCCTGACATACTCAAAGCAAACAAACGCAGTCCCCGTTGCCACTGCTAAGTGCAGACAGCGTTGCAGCAACTCTGTCAGCGTCACAGAGCGAGTCCTGCGGGGAAAACGTCTCCCTGCGGAAGTCGTAGGAATATTTCTATTAATGTCATGGAGGTCAAGATTCCCACGACTTTAACGTGCGGTGACTTGCTATGCTCAAATGAAATGACTGGAGACTGCAGCTTGTGCAGAAGAAAAAAAAAAAAAGGTTATTTCCTGCAATTTAGTAGCTAAAGCGTGGCTCTTCGCAACAAGCTGAGCCACTTGCCTATGCGTTTGCCAGAGTCTTTGGTGCAGAAGATGTTGCCCAGCGCTGGGGCTCGTGCCCAGGCTGAAAGCCTGAGCAGAAATCACGCGGTCGGAATTTGCTTCTATTTGTAGAGGCAGGTTGGTGCGGGTGCAGCAGAACTCTCTGAGATCCTCGCTGCCTGTAAATATCAGCGGATTACTCCGGGAAAGGTTTGGGTTGCGGCGAGATTTTGTTTGTTTGCTTTGAATAGCAGCTGCAAATCAAATAATAACAATAGGGGATGGCAGCTAGGAAACCCCGAAAGAAATACAGAGCACGCGCCCAAGCTTGGTGTTTGCTTTGGGAAAAGCAGTGCTGACCACACATTATATTTAAAGGGCATTTTAAAGCTCTGGGAAATAGCTGGCAGTTCACAGGTAGTATTTGCGTGGTGGATGAAGGAAACCTTGGTGATGGCTGCACGTAAAACTAAACGATTCCCCCTTGGGTGAGGGGCTGCAATTGCTTGTGATGGGAAACAGCACTTGGGGATGCAGCTTCTCCCTGCCTGGCCCCGGAGCGCACGGAGCAGACACTTCCTGATGGCTTTCCCAGAGAACCCAGGGAGCTTTGGAAATAGGAAACTGAAAGATATATAACCATGTACATATATTTTTCATACCAGTATGCCAGTCTTTGGAATGTATCCCTTGCAAATTCGGGAATTTCCACTTTTTTTCATATTCTCAGATCCATAGTGGAATGAAACATTCTCCAGAATGTTTGCACATCTATCCGTAGAAAAAATGTGAAATATTTTGATTTTTAAAAGCCAGTCCCAGATGCCCAGCATGCCTGCAAGTTGCAGCTGTATTATTTGCTTCCCTGTCGAAGGATCACCACTTCCCTGTCCCATGGCTCAATTTCGCTGGCGTACCTGGGCACCAGTGAAAGCTCTGGGGGCTCCTAGAGTCTGTCCGTGCTAGCAGCTTCCCACTATTATGATTTCCTGTACATGGAAAGAGAATTTGGGCAGAAAAGAGGGAAGGAGCTAGGAGATAAAAAAAAAAAAAAATCCTTCCAAACTGTTGGCAGAATTTTTCATAACACAGTAAAAGAATCTGGTCTGATAAGGTATAGAGATTCCTTCGCTGGATAGAAGTTACAGATGAGCAGTAGTCTATTAGCAGATAGATATTGTAACTGAAAAATGTCTGACAATTTATACAGGCAAGTCGACGCCTTATTTCACCAATATTTGCTAACATTTTAATGCAATTATTCTGTATGCTGATGAGAGCAATTTTCTTCCCCAAAATATTCAGGGATCAGAATTTGTTGTGAATATGAATGTGATCATTGCATGAAAATGCTTGAACTGTGTGTGCTCTCCTCTGGCAGGTAAAGCATAAGAATTTCATAAAATCCTTGATAGCTAATAAATAAAACTATATTCAGATAATTCAGAAGTAGAAGAACCTCCTACTGATAATGAAGTCCATTGAATAAATACCACATATTCATAATGGCCAGGTCTTGAACAAGTCATAATTCATTCATAAAATGAAATTAATAGAGATAAATGAACCATTGTGTAAAATGAATGTAATTATAGAAAATTTGACCTAGGAAGAGATAGAGCTGCAACTGAAAAGAATAAAACATTTTTTCAGAGTTATTATTTGTGCTGAATAACAGAATTACGGAGAAGGAAAATCTGGCCAGGCAGGAGCTTGGTT